GGTGCCATTTCTGCGAGTGTTTCATGTTTGCAACGTGGAATCTCCAGCCTGGCAGTGCGCGCGCACAATTCGGGGATTTAGTCCTGTGTCAGATTCAGGATGTGATCCGCTTGTACACAGAGTGTGAATACCCTCAGTATTTTTATTTACGATTTAGAGCTTTGTTGCGATGGTCACAAATTTTCTTATTCACACTCCCTTCTATTTACGATTCTTTCCTCCCGATAGTTTAACCTATTTATGATCGAGATCAGCCGGAAGCTCCAGGTCAGAACCTTAAACCTTGCCACGTCCGCCCTTCCGGCCAACACAGCGACTGAGAGGCTGCGGCCGGCCATGCATGCGCACCGCCCGGCCGTGCTAGCCCTTATCCGACGAGCTAGTAGAGTCCCGGGGCGGCATGCAGGCCGCCAGCCTCGATCCGCCACGTTGGACTCCCCTGCAAGCTAGCTGTGATGCTCCAAGAGCTGGGCACCTACTTCGGAATTTGCACTAGAATTCCTTTGTAGTACGAGTAGTAGTCGGAGTTAAGTCACTGCATGTACCATGTGCACACGTAGCTTTCATTGAAGTACATGACGAAGTAGAATATGTGCATATGTCAATGCATTAAGTTTCATACTCAAGTAGCTTAATTCAATCTTGCCCGCTACGCTAATTTCTAGCTAATGCTTTGGGGCATTTAATATATGTATATAGCTTTGATTCAAGGCGCACAAAATTGCTTCACATAATGCATGGCATCTGGAGCATATCAAAGTGTATAGTTCCGCAAACGACAAGCTTCGCAGTCAATATCTGTAGCGTGACAAGATTGACAACATCAATGAGCAGTGGACACCCTACTCATCGACTTTGACACGCCATGAAGCTTGCCTACATCATAAAGTTGTCAGTGGTCCGGGCTCTGATTATTTTTTCGTTATGCATGCAATCTTTCAGAGGATGGCAAAGTCGCTCCTCCTTCGGACTATGTTGTTCCTATATCGACCTTCCAAAAACACTTTGATGCTCCCCGTGCCTAATGTATTCACCGCTCCTTCAGTTCCTCCTCAAAGATCGATAGCCTCTCTACAATAGCAGGTACAAGGGCGCTAAAAGCTGTTCGTATCGACACCTTGGAATCTGTAGTCAAGACCTTACTGCTATCAAACGTCGTCTCCACCTGCAAGCATGGTCGAGCAGGTTCCTAACGGCAGAACCTCGCTGATAAAGCGTTTTTCAAGACAAGACAGAACCAATGAACAGATAAAGCCTGACCATGAAGGGTCGGGGTTGACTGAAAGAGAGCCTTAAACGACCCGAACACCCATGGCTCTTCGCTAAGCACTATCGAGCTTGATGACTGAAGTACATAGAATAAAGATGACCAGAACCGAGGAGATCGGCAGTGTCTCTGGTCAAGGTTGCAAAAACTGCATTCAGTTGCTGCTCGTGGTCAATGCGCATTCTTTGCTTCCGAAAGAAAACGACGAGAGTGTGAAACGAACTTCAGGTCAGATGGTGTCAACAACTCATCTTCGAGGGCCTCTTGTTATGGACAATTAAATAGCTTCGTTGGTCATTAGAAAGGCAAACCAGCGCTTAACGGTTTTGAAGTCCGCTGAAAAACTGACTAGCAGCAGTCGGCAATCTGCTGCCTGCAACCTGCAGATCGACTTTTCGGATAACCGACTTAGGAAGTGTCTTAATTTGTCATCCGAGGGGCACTCGATAGTATATTCCATAGACAACACTTTAAAGACAGAAGGACTTGGACAAACCTCAGACCCACCGGAATGTTCTGGTGGCCGTTTTGTCCGTTTGGATTCTGTCCTTCCACTCGGATCATTCACAAATTCTCGTGCAAGAGCCTTAAAAGGCAGTCTCACACTTCAATCCAATGAGCAGAGAAAAACAACCCTGAAAGAAAAGAGCATCAAGTAATGCATCCTCACCGTGACCTCATCGAGCTCCCCGAAGGCAGCCTCTGGTATTTTCAGCATGCCAGTCACTTCTTCCTCTTTGAATGTACCTGCAAAGTGAAATAGTGGTGTGAAGTCGTATTGTCGAACAGACCAACTCTTGATTTGAACGCAATTGAAGACATACGTCTTTCTCCTTTGCCTGCTTCTGAAGGACGTCGAGCAATAAACACTGATAAAGTCATATGCTGACATCCTGTGTGGCTACACAGCGGCTTACCTTTCCACTTCAGATCGATCTCAAAGTGGTAACCACAGCGTCGCTTGCCACGCACAAAAAATTGTGTCGCCTGCAGAAGAAGCAAATGCATAGATTCAGATCACTTATCCAAGTTCCTTCACCTGTTCAACTTTTCTCCTTGCGATTGTGAAGAAAAGTACATGCCGGGCCCGGACGGGAAGTGACAGTATCTAAACAAAGCAGTACTTTCAAACAGAGCGACTCAAACCAACGACGCTGCTAGCCGTTCATAACTGTAATCTTGACCATATTGCTACGTCTAAGCATGAGACTTAAGGAGTCAGCAGAGGTTGGTGCAGGTGCCTCGTTCAGTGACCAGACGAAGGCTTCTCAAGAAGATCTCTCCAATCAATTCTTCATCATCAGCGGCGTGTTGCTAGTGCAGTTGCAGAAACAAGTCACACTCTTGTCTTGCACTTTCTTTTAGATATCACCTTCATTCAAGAATAGCTTGATGTCAAGGGAACTCACATCACCAGTGCAGGATGACATCTCCGTGACTCTTGCCCTCCCTTCCGGGAATGAGATCTCGTCCAACTCCTTCAGCAGTTCTCCTAAACGGTCCTTGCCCCAGGCGGTCAGATTCCTTTCCTCCCACGTGCCAGCCTGGAGGAAACATCGACACAATCGGTCTGGTTAAGCACGATTGCCAACACCCCAAAAATAGTGATGAATATGGCTGGACCCTTCGACCTCCTGACTGATAAAGTCACGATTCGATGAAAGCGGAGGAAAGTAAGGTAATGCAGAACTGTCACATGCATCGTGGCGGCCGAGTATTTTGGAGACCTAGCTTCAAGCCTGCGAAAATCAGAACTCTGTGGCTTATCAGAAAGGAAGAGGAAACTCAGTACTGTTTTCCATATGAGCATTCAGAAATTGGCTGCCAAGTCGAGACAACTACCTTTTGCTGGATGAGGGCACCTGAACTCAAAACCTCTTCCTTGGCATCGCATATGGCTTAGTAAGAGTAATGTACTGACAAGCTCTGAAAAACACCAACTTCTCTGGCGTCCCCATTTGATCAATGAGAAGCTTGCGTACACAAGCGACGAGTAGATTGATGAAATAGCGGTTTCCTTCTACCTTGTTCCAGGCGCTTCCTCCCGAGCTGGGTCCCGCCTGTGCAGTTTGTGCCAACTCCTCTTGACTCAATTTCTTGGGCACCGGCTTTGGCGCCGGAGCTTCCACCCCATCGCCAGGCTTCCCTGTCCAGTACCTGTAGCCCAAAGCTGCATCAGCTTTGTTGCTTGAGCCTGCAACCTCGCCAGAGCCGGTGGGCGGCTCCATGTTCTCTACCTACCTATGCAGCAGTATGCTAGGTACCTAGAGAAATGCTGTGCCGCTGCGCCTTGTTGAGCTGCAAAATGCAGCGCAGCTAGGTAGCTGTGGACCAGAGTGTGGTGCAGTGTGGGCTTAGTGTGGGCTGCATTCCTCGAAACTTGCAAAATTCCTTGACTCCCCACGATAAATCATTTTGAATTGTCTGTGAATCTTGAAGGGACTGTGGATGTACGAACTCAAAAGAGGAAAAACCAAAGTAGAACCTGGCTACCGGATCGGCTTTGATCCCCAATGTTTGTGTGTGATTCTTTTTGCATGTCATTGTTATTTTTTGGTTCTAGCATAAATTTGCACCTCAAGCTTCTCCGCATTTGAGGAATTATGGAATCATTGCTGTAGAATTCTGTATACATACGGTACTCCCGCACCCTTTCAACTCTGAAAGCGGGACAGGCGAGCTGCACATCCGTGCAATGTCCTGACGTCAATGTGGCCCCGAGCGCTTCAAGCCTTCATCTTTGAAGCAGAGAATGCAGCTTGAAAGCCGAGTACTTCAGCAAAGATGTGTGCAAGTGTTTGTGCAGACTAGCAGCTCCTTTTGGACTATCATCTTATTCATAGCGGCGCTGAAGCCGGAACTTAGGGCAAAGTTGAGAAATCTTGTATAACGTGATGTGGTGTTGGTGAGCTGGGCTGCAAAAAAAGTGACTCTGTTGCTGGAACTGTGACAGCTATGCAATGAACATGGCCTCAAGTTCCTACAGCAGTGATAATCAGAGCGCAGTGGCAGAGGGACTGTGGCAGCTTGCTGATGAGTTTGAGGCCGAAGGAGATGTCCCAGCCACCGTCAAGTAAGCTGCAGAACATTCTGCTTATCATACTCTTCATCATTAAGGACACGTCCTTGGTTGTTGTAGATATCGTTTCTTTGATCTTACCTCAATTGGCTAGCCCTGTTCTGTGGCTCCCCGTCGTTCAACTCCACACGGTTCAAGCATGATCTCTGTAACCCTTCAACTCTTTATCTTGTTTGTGAGCCTCAACTGTGTAGCTTATCAGTTGCCATAGATGATTGCAACTTTAGTCAAGACGTTTGCTGGTAGGATCTTTTGAGAATCTTTAGTGGTGGTAGAGTTAAGCGAGAAACGTGGAACAAACACCCTTGTTAAGGCCACAGGGAATCGAAAAGGAGATTTCTTTTTGACAGGTGCCTGGAGGCAATCTGTCAGAGTGAGCGCTCGTTCTTGCCGCTGGTTGAAGTCAAGACAAGGCTTCGCTTGGCCACTTTCCTCTTCGACCACACCAACAACATAGCGCAGGCCAGGAGCCATCTTGAGAGAGCGGTGAGCCCCGTGCAACAATTGTTGAGTCGATTCTAGGCCATGGTTTCTATTCATTGGTTTGATCAAACATTGGTGCAAGCCCCAGTGTAGCTAGTCTATCAGGGCCTTCCCGTATGGCTTTGTCACTCCAAGTTACACATCAAACATCTGACAGGATGCTTGGCTTTGGATTGCAGAACGCTCCTTTTGAGGCCTAGAGCAAGCAAGGAGTCCAGCCCCCTGTACAGTCATTGGCTCTGCCTTTTTAGAACACTGATTTAGAATCCCGAGAGTTTTCTGCCAGCCTTTTTCGTTCTTCTTTTCTCACTGAGTCTGAGCTCTGTTGTGCAGCAAATGCTGTTGAAAAACGTCCCTGGGAACGTGGACCTCAAGTGCTGTGTCCTCTCTCTCCTGAGCCACTGCTACCAGGCGCTCGACTCCAGGAACCTCCGGAAGCAGGTCCTACAGAAGGGCTGTGAGCTGCTCTCGCAAGCACAAGACTGGTAAGTGCTTTCGCCTAGTGGTTGGCCATACACCCTTCAACATCCCCTACACGTTTCGGATCTTTGTTTCTTCCATCAAAACCAAGAAAAAGTGAGTTTTTTTACCGAAGGGGTTTTTGCACAGACTATGTATAATCCATGCCCTCAAGGCCTGGAAAGCAAAGATGTGCCATCAATGTATTCTCGTCGCAGCTTGGGAGGTCTGGAAGGATGACGAAAGCCTCTTCGAAACTGGAAAAGTATTTGGAGATCTGTCCCGTTTTCCCCCCATTTAGGCTTCATTCAGAGACCGAGGGGATCCGTCACCATCATCTAACGAAGTCAGAGCTTCCCATCTTGTGAAACTGCCGTGCTGAGTGATGTTTTCTGATCCTGATCTCGTGCATGAGAAGGAACTGACAAGTGAAGTCCGAGCTCTCAATCTGAACACGAACGCAAGGCGCCAAACACCTCCTCTGCGTCAGTTTACGAACACTGACTCGTCTGGCGTGCGGGTGGACATGTGCAGGGAGGGCGCCCCTCTGTGGATGTGCAACTTCCAGATGCAGCTGATTGGTGCGAGTCTACAAGAGGGCGAGCCTGAGGCCGCCATAGCCTGCGCCCGCACTGGCCTCGAGCAGGCGCAACAAATGAACAATGCTCCCCTGCAGGTGAGCCATTGATAGTATAGGCACATCACAGTTTTACTCTTGATGTTACAGCATCTTCCGCACTGTCCTTCTGTGCCGGTGGGGATTCAGAAGCGCCTGTTGCTACCTAGACATACTCAGGGAACACCCGATCCAGTATTCGTTAGTCTTGTTCTCCCCACTCTTTTCTCCATTCGAGCCAGCAGTTATCATTCTCGGAGGGCCTATTGAATGAAAGATTGCCTGAATCTAGCATGGCCGATGTCTCGCGGGCCGGTAAGCAGTCTATCCCATTTTTCACCCATGCTAGCCGGTGCATTGAACCGAGCTTGACATGGATGCCTCACCCCCAAAACCTGCCACTCCGCTAGTTTATCACGAACAACCAGACTGAAATGCGGGCTCGTTGTCTACCCCCGCTTCAGCAAATGTTGTGCGGCTTGATTCAGGGACGAATAGGGCGAGGAAAATGTGAAAAGAGACGAGGATTGTGCAAACAATCGGGGTTAGAAAACAATCCACATAAACGGTTTTTCGATCGTCCCTGCAGTTGCTGTTCGCTGCCACGATGCTCCACGCCCACATGTGCACCTTCCAGAACCCCCGGGAGTTGGCTGCGGCCGCTGACATGTGCGATCAGGCTTGGGTGAGCATGACGGTGCCCGAGAGGGAGGCATATGCCGGGCTGAGCGTGTACCACCGGCTCCTGCGGGCGGCTCACTGGCTGAGCGTGGCGGAGTACGGCAAGGTCAAACCGCACCTCAACGGTGGGCCGTCATCTCAAGTTCGCTCTGCTTGAGCCTCTCTCCACCCTCTGAGCACTGCAAATTGGTTGCTGAGGCTTCGCTTTCAAAGAAAAGGTTGAGGGCTTATCTTCGTTCCTCGTAAACATGAGATTGCCTCTTTCAATCGAAGGCTGCAGCACGAAGACCGCCTTTTTGCCTTATGCGAAGAGCACGATCCGGCAACGAATACTCCCATCGCTTGATTGTCTAGCCGTCGCTTCCTTCGAAGCTGTTCAGTAATGAGGGCCAACTCCCGTCACGATCCTCTGTAACCTTTTGAAGCAGAGTCATTCCAAATCGCAATGTCAATTTTCAACGTGTCCGCCGAAGAGCTCGACTACACTTTTCGGTCTAACTTTCTGAAGCTGAGTTGATGAATGGCAACGTCGAACTCCGACAATTTCTTTGCAGAGCTCGACTCGACTCTCCGGTCCTTCCGAGCCCGCCAAGCTGCCACCTACTCTACCCCCCCGCCTTCTGAGAAGCACCCCGTCAGTGCCAACGGCTTCCACTCGTCACCTTCTGGCCAGCCATATCCTTCAAACAACACCCAAGCTGCAAACGCCCCTCTTCAAACCCGGTCCAAAACTTTTGACCTGAACGAAGCTCCGGACCGGTCGGACGGCGCTGGTCCGAGCGGCCGCCCGGAGACGCGAGTGCCTGGGCGAGGGCCCGCCTCAGGTACGCTTACTGATTTGCTCAATGCCTTACGGCTGCTTTTAATGAAAGATCGTCGTGCTCAGGGTGCGTTCCGTGCCTTGATCCAGCTTTCCTCGTACGGCGCTCCTTCGAGCATACGGAACGTCTTATTTTGCCTTTCCTCTCTTGAACTCAATTCACGCTTATTAAGAGCCTCACATGCCAAGCTATCTGCCCAAATTGACCGTACAAATCTCCGGAAGTCTCTACCGCGATTCTGGAGGACAATTTATTCATTTCGGAGCCTCTCCCATGCTCTATCGCCTTTGCGAATGAAAGCATCCGGCAATGATCCCTCAGGAACAAGCCTGCCGCTGGGGCCACCGCCGTTGGACTCGGAGTGGCTGCCGCTGACTGCCGCCGAGGGGCTCGCCGCACTGATGTGGGCGCTGCACGAGCGACCCGCGGGGACGTCGTTCAAAAAGTGCCTGGAGCGGATCAGGCCTGCAATAGAGGCGACCCGAGGTACGCTCACCACTGTTTAGCTTTGTTCTCTTCAGGGATTCCTTTAACAAGCCGCATTTTGCCGCTCGCTTTGAGTTAGACTTCGTGGAGCGTTCTGTGATGCCGCTTTGACGGTTACTCGTGTGAGTAAGTTGTTGCTGATCACTTGCACCAGTTTCAAAATGAGGGAACCAGTCAGTTTTGGGCAACCTCCACCCGTTGCATCGATTTTGGACGGACGACTCGACGTTGCTGCCGCTTCGAGCCTTTGAAGCACAAAGATGGAGTGATTACTGCTTCGATTGCGTTTTGCGCGTCCGAGGTCACGTTCCCACCAAAGTTGGTCAAAACGGATGCATCATCGCTTAGGTATGTTTTGTTCAATTGATCCCCAATATCTCCTGTTGACGGGTCTTCTTATCTTCGCTTATACGTACACTTCGTTTCGTGTTGCAGCGGCGCTCCAAGCTGCTGGCATCACCCCTTCCTCTACGTCCAAGAGCGTTTCCGCTCAGGCGTACTGGGACGCGCAACCTTACCTCATTCTACTGCAACATCTGCTTGAGGTCAAGGCCGGCATCGAGCTGACGCAGTGTGACGTCAGGGACGCGCAGACTGTGAGCGGCGTCAGCCCTTTTTGCGGTGCTCCTGCTTCTTGCCTCCGGGCGTGCTCGACGTAGTATGTATATTGCCTGATTGGTTTCACACGAGTCATGATTATAGCTCCTGCTGTCAATTTACTCATTGAAGCTCCTCGTACGTTCAGCACCTTCTCGGCGACGTTCCTCAAGCCGAAGATTGCAAATACTTGATCTCGAATATCTGAAAATGAGCTGTTTCGAGCTTACCAAATATCCGAGCAGACTAGTTTGGGAGGCACCTAATTCCTTGGCTCATTCTTACACTTGGACCGCAAGGCTTCCCCTTGGAAAGACTTCATCGGCCGGCGGGTGAAGCGGGTTTTTGCGTGGCCACTCCCATTGTCTTGACATGACCCAAACTTCCTGATAGGTCTGCGTTAGGAGTAGAGCGAAGGTGTCTGGTCGCATGGGCGGAATGTGATTCAGGTTTCTTGTCTTAGCCGTATCAGAACGAACTCGCGATAAGTTCTCGTTCCCCGAAGCATTGTCTGACTCAGACCCGTCGTTTGCCTCTCCAACAGACGATCGCCGAGGCCATCGACCTTTTCAGCCGCTTCCCGACGCACGATGCGCTGCAGAGCCGGATCCAGGTCTTGGTGGGGCAATACGCGCTCACGGTGGGAGACTTCCAGGCGGCGGTACAGCACTTCCAGCTCGCGGCTGCGGTGAGGCTTCGGCAGCCTGCAAGGAAGTTAACAGTTAACAGTTGATATAACACTTTTAAGGAAACTCTTTCGGTCCGCTTGCGAAATCCAGCTCTTTCCCTAGTGTTAAGGCAGGGATAGGAGATGAAAGGCAGGCAGGAGAGTGAAGCCGTCCTTGGCAGGCAACTGAGTTCGCGTGTATCGGCAATTGTCTGTTTTTCTTACGCGGTTCAGTGATTGATCATGAGAAGCGTAGTGTGCCTATCTGTGTTTCTCATGCACCGAGAAAGTTGGCGTTTCCTGGCCACTCACGAACGCCCAGGATCTTTCTTCCACTTTTGTTAACAAACTCAAACGCGGACGGAGCAGCGCTCTTATATTTTGTTGGCCCAACTTGAAAACTCTCAAGTAAATGTCATGAATCTCCAAAAGCTCAGCCCAAAGTCTCTGTAAACACCTTTGAAACATGCATGTGGCCAACTCAAACCCTCACCATCTCCACGGACCCTCCCGAAGCAAACCCAGGTCCTCTTATTAAACGCCAAACGTTCGTTGAGATGAACCCCATTGAAACAACATTACGCTCTGCTTCACCGACGCCTCATAACCAACTCATTTCTTTCGAATCTCTTACGAAGCGTTTCGAGCTCAATCTCGTGCAGGCACTGTCTCATTTCGCAGGGCTTTAATACCACCAACTTGGACCCTCTCAAAAGCTCTACGGACGATCTTAAAGTCAACCTCGTGCAGGCAACGTCTCTTCCGTCATCACAACCCCTCATGATAGAAACTGAGACCCATTTGAAACCTGACGAGGTTGTCCGAACTTCTCTAGTGCACGCAGCGTCTCTTGTCTTCTCACAAACTTCCATGAAATCTGCAAAGGGCTTGAAATTGAACCCCGGGCAGGCAACCGAAGACTCGCACATTCGGACGGTCATGGAGATCCAGATCCAATCTCCTGCAGGCAACGGCTCATGTTCTTGCACGAACCTTCTTCAGCGTCTCGAGCCTCTCGGAAACCAATCAAACTGCCTGAATCTCTTAATCCCTACAGCCCAGCCAGACTGCCTTGCAGGCAACGATGGACCGGGCGGCCGGACGCTCGTGACTATCCAGACTGCCCTGGCGCTTCTGTCCACAAAGTTGTTTCTCATTCATTCATCTCGTATTGTACCAACACAGACCCTCTTATTGCGGGCGAGGATTGGCCAATCTAGCCCTAGCTGATGAGATCTCGGACCAAGAACAAAGCAACTTGCTCTCTAAACCAACCTGCATCATGCTTGCAATAAGTACCTGCACATACTACTTGGATACCCATTTACCAACACAGACCCGCTTTCCCGCATTAACCCCGTGCAGGCAACAGAAGATTCGGACGCCCGGACGCTGATACGATCCAGACTGCCCTGGCGCACCTGTCGCTAAACTTGACCCCGTGCAGGAACGTCTCATTTCTCATTTATTTCGTGTAGTTCCGACCCAGACCCTTTTAAAAGTTGCTTTGAACCCTGCGCAGGCAACGGAAGATGCGGACGCCCGGACGCTCATCACTATCCAGACCGCCTTGGCGCACCTGTCCGCAAATTCGGACGCCGATCGGAGCGCCGCGGTCGACCTGGTGACCCCCCTGGTGCAGGAGAGCGCGCTGCCGCGCCTGCGGGCGCGCGTGCATTCGGCTGCGCTGTTTGCGTCGAGCATGCTTCAGGCGCTGCAAGGGCAATACCAGGAGGCCCGGTAAGAATGCGCCCTTGCATAATCGTTACACTGGTGGATTTTTGATACCAGATTGGGATTCGTTGATCGGTGCAAGCCTCTAGTCTCACAGCAGTGTTAAGAGCTACAGTTGTCACGCTCAAAGATGCCGTGGCATGAAGGTTAAATTTAGCTGTAGAGTAGTGAGTATAGAGGGAGTGTCACCCAACAGGACTTCGGATGTTTTGCCTGCACGAGATTGCTCCTATCACTGTCTTGGATACATGCGTAACAGCCACTGGTGAATTGAGCACAGTTGTCAGACAAAGCTTTCGTGTAATCACGTGCCTGGATGTGCATGCGGAATTGAGCACCGCTCGTGGACTTCGGCTGGGAAGCCTTCTTGGGGTTCAAGTTTTCAATGCTTCTTAAGCAGAGGCGCTGGCTGAAGTTGTAATGACTGCTAGAGGACTTCTGAGGTCCGATGCCGATATTCGCTCGTGTAGGCGTTCCAGAGGAAAACAGGTGTTATGCCCGAGTTGGGTGCTTCAGTCAGTTGTCCTGCAAGGGAGCATGTTTTTGAATTGTGAACGTAATTCCTCGGTACACGTGTGAAATAGAAGCGGAATATCGGGAATCAATCACACCCCCCTTTGCTCCGCAGCTTTCAGACTGTGCGCGGCCGCAGAATGACCCACAAGCAGCTGCGTTTGTCTGTTTTTCATTACTCTTGGTAGAAAGAGATTCCGGGAGCACTTCGTGATGTGGGCAATCCTTTCCAACCTCCGCCCAGGTTCTAGATCGAGGGCGGCCTAAAGGAGGCCCACAAGCAGCTGATGATGTGTCTCTTGTGAACCCCTTGCAAGAAGGAAATAGTCGAAAGCCCTGAAGGTCAGGGCTTCGAGACACTCTTTTCGGACCCAAAAACCTTGAAAGAACAACGTTTTCGACTCCGCCCAGGTCCCAGATTGGGCTCGGCCTAACGCAAGCCCATAAGCAGCTGATGTTGTATCTGTCATAATCTCCTCGCAAGGAAAGAAAGGTCAGGAAGCCCTGAAGATTAGCGCTTCGAGTCACCCATCTTTGTTCAACAAACCCCTGAAGAACATCCTTCGACTCCCGCCCAGGTTCA